TTATCCTTGCACTTGGTTCAAACCTCAACTGCGTAATCATTGGTTGCCTCCGTACCGCGGGATGGTGCACCAGAGCTCCCAGCTCTCCCCTCCTAAAGCTGTTCTTTTACTGCGGATCTCCCCGCAGGGGGAGCCCAAGCCCAGGTTTTCTTTGGTAACCACATACGGTCCCGCCAGTAAAGGGATGTGAGAAGTAACAACCAACAGCATCCCCTGTGTGTGGAAGGCGTAGATACATCGGGGTTCTCCCAGGTGCCCCAAGGTGGTGGCTAACAACAGTGGCCTACTTCCGCCCAGCATAACGTACCGTAACATTACACTTAGAGTTAAGCGGACCATTGTCTTGTTCGCCATGTTTCCGATGTTACCCGCCTGCCTTCAGTGGGCGCCAGGGTTGGCTTATGGAGGGATGTGCTGGGTTTGCAAATCTGGAAGACTGTTCGACACAAAGTTCCTGCATGCGTGTTGTACGTGTGACTTCTGTTAGTGTTTTATAAGGTGTGTGGAAGGTTCAGGCTTGTGAAACTTTTGTTCCATAGAGGAGGCATGCAAGAGTTGCCGGATCGTTGCAAGATTTTTAACCACCGCCCAGTGTGATTGATAAGAGCTGTGTTTTTTAATTTTTCATTCTATACATGTTTCAGTCAAGACGACCATCTTCAGAAGGATAATATCAGTACGTAAGGAAACTACTATTCCCATGTCACATAAATATTATATCTTAAAAGTAATTCTAAGATGTACATTGATTTGTAAAGACATGTACAAATTATTACAATAAGTCTGCTTACAAGTAATGTACAATATGTTCTAACCTAGAACCAAATGTCCATGCAGCCGAATCTTGTGTACTCCCGTTGTTAACATTGTCTGTACGTACCNCCCATTCATATATGGGCAACGTTACGAGGGAGTAGTCAAGGGAAGGACGGGAAAATGGCAGATTCCTCTTCAGCTGTACCAGTTGCCATTGTACATCTCCTTTCATTTAATTGGAGACGCTTTAGCACCTGGAGCAGTTTGTGGGGACCAGTCACAAAGCTCCAGTTTTCCTAATGAACGACATCCACCCGAACTGCAGTGTTCATGTCCGAGCATTCATATTGACCATTTTGTGTGTTGAGGTGAACTAGGCCAGGCGTCGTTTTCAGCAACTTGATCTAGCCCTGACTTCGGAGTATCGGCTTGTTAATTTGTTGGGTATGTTCGAAGCACTGTTCTCGGAAGTGTAGGGCATACAACACCAGTCATTTCTTAGTAAGTAGCAATAAACTTGCATGTGATGTTATATCAGAACCTCACGTTTCTGCTGGACTCTTATACGAATCCGAGAAAGGGGGTGGGGGTGGGGGGAGAGACAAGATTGCGCTTTTGTTTTTTTATCTCCATCTTTATTTTAGGATAATGCTTCTTTACAGACACTACTAAAGGTAAAGCTATCCCCTAAACGGGCCGTGAAGCCAAAGAGGATTGCGAAACGTCGAGGCTTCTACATTTTCTCTAGACAATCGGCTCACAGATGGCGGTGGGTTGAGCCCTACGCTCCGGCCGCCCTTCATTCCTCAGGAAGATACCTGGTCCACATTTCTATTAGAGGCTGAGTCGACCCCAGGGCCATGGGGTGACTTGAAGGATTAGGTCAGTTGAAAAAATCCAATTGCCTCTCGGGAATCGAAGCCGCGACTTTCTGGCTTGTAGCATAGTGCTTCAACTACGCTACCGTGTGTCCCCTTACAGACAGCACTGACTGCATTTTTCTGCAGTCCTCTTTACTGTGTTTTCTTTCGACTGACAAGTTTTCGCAGACGACTTACGTTCCTTGGGATTTGTGTAAGAAGTTTCGGCAGTTGAGAGAAGCCACTTCACTTCCAATGAAATTGTACATAGTGGCGCGACACAACAGTAGCGTCGGATACACGCCCCTCCACTCTCTCGCTAAGATAACTGAATTATTTCGTTAATGAATCATCTCACGTTTTTCAAAACATTTCGCACAATATTTCACGGGCCTGTCCATGCGTTGCCGTTATTTCCACATTAAACACACCCCAGCTATTTACTACGGAAGAAGAGAAACAGAAAACAAACTCCGTGGCCTGTAGTCCGCAAGCGAACTGTACCAACCAGGCGACCGCCGCTTGTCGGCGAAGTTAGTGCCAGCTTTAGCAGATAGAGGGTGTCGCGTGGTGTGAAAGATGTACATGCTCTCCGATTTCTGTACTAGTGGTGGTGCTGTTAGGTACAGAGGAGCAGGGAATTCACGGATCCAGTGTTCGCAAGGTGGTGACCGACCTGCCAGCTGAAGGGGCGGCGGCAGTAGATGATCAGTCCAGGCAGGATATCGTTACTCATGGTATAGGTTTTGCTTGTGGGATAATTTATGCTATGAGTATCGTTATCACTGATGGACAGTGCGACTCAACGTAACTGCTTTCTTGTCTCCTTTATGTTACTTTGCCCACCATTTGACGTGGTTGGTTTCCGGTAGGGAAAGCAGATGCCTGTGCCTTGAGATAGAAATCTCATCTCCGCTTATGAAATTGTATTTACTCTTCTGAAGGCTGGGGTTAACAGTCCAGCCCCTTCCGCAAATAATAATAGTTCAACTGTGTCTCCCATTACCAGGTCCAGTCCGAAGATAATATATTAAGTGTACAGATTTTAATTTTATACAAACTCATGGGCGGCCATATTCTAAATTTGAGAGCTGAAGTCTGCAGCCGGTGATAATGCAGGGAGAATTTTAATCGGGTTGAAGAGTTCACGGCTCCTCGCTTCGCGGAGTATCATTTTTACATTATTATTTAAATGAGACATTTATGACTAAATTGAGCCAAGCCCTTTCTGAGACGCCAACAGTTGCAAAGCCACCCAGAAAATTCCTGACATTTTATGGAACCCGAAGGTTCGTTACCATATTCCTGAGGTCACCACGTCTCCATCCCATCCTAATACTCTTTCAGATAAAGTTTAATGTCCTCCCATCTGCATCTGGGTCTTGCTAGTGGTAACTTTCCTTCCAGGTTTCCCATAAAATCCTCTATGCTTTCCTATCCCATATCATTACTATATCTAAGAGCTCACCATGACTCCATCCTGAGCCAGATGAATGCAGTTTTACCACCTCATCCCATTCCTCTAAGATACATTTTAGTATTATCTCGTCTGCATCTAGGTCGTCTTGGTGGTCTCTTTCCTTATGGGTTTCCCAACAAAACCCCCCTCTCCCATGTGTACTACATGTCCTTCCAATCTCATCGTCGTCGTATCATTCTAATTATATTTGGTGAAGAGCACAAATTACAAAACCCCCTCATTAGGCATTTCTCACCAAACTATTATTTCATCCCTCTTGGGTCCAGATATCTCCTCGGCACCGTTCACCAACACCTGCTCTATGTTCTTTTAATGTCAGATATCAAGCTTCACACCCATACAGAACTGCAGGTAAAATTATAGTTCTGTATATCTGAACGGTAACAAGCATTGACCAAGTTCAATCTCCAAAGCAGTGATATGCCTTGATACAATATAAGAAATTTAATTAAATTTAAAGGTAGGCCTTAAGTTTCAGCATGTCTTGCCTGCAAGTACTGGATTCACACTACATGAACAAAATTTTGTGAAATTTGGTAGTGGGAATTCCTTAAAAGCAGTACATTCTGGGAAGAATTTATATGGTTCTTCAGTCAGCATGAAGAGGCTAGAATAAAAAAAGATGTAGAATTCAACGACACAACTTACATAGTGTTCTTCTCTTTGAGCGACTGAAGCATGTTTGAAAGTTTTACTGTTGATAATTATTATTTCCGGCAACGTTGATATAAATTTTTACAGAACTTGTAGTAATGTGTTTCACTCCTCTAGATTTCTCATATCTGAACTCTGCTTAGTGCGCGCGCACAGGAAATGCTTAAGGATGACAGCAGGCACATTATTGTCTTAAATTCCACTGTATTCTAATAAGTGAGGAGTGATACATTGCATGTACTGGGAGATGACTTTTGCTGTCAGATGATAGTATTTCTATTACATAGTAGACAGAAATATCAGTAGTAGTAGCAAATCATCGAAATGCAAACGTGCTTCAGGTTTTGATATAACAAGATTCGTATTCATGTACACCCAGTACTAAAATGATTCTGGTATCTCAAGTCAACAGCCTGACCTCCTGCTTGAGTGACATCTGCTGAGGTATGGATGGGTAATTCTGGTGGATTAATATTTCAGGGGAGATTATTATGATATTTGACTGGCTAGGTTAGGTAACTCTGCGGGTCAAGATTTGACTCTGTCCTGAAGGTCACATTAATGGGGAAAAACACTGGTCATGCACCATACAGCAAGCCAGTGATTCGCTTTGATGATAAAAGTGTATTTATTATTATTCACCTGTTGAATAATTTCTATTTCATATCAGTTTATTCAGTACATAGGTGTAATTCATTATAACAAACTTCTTGGGTCACCAAATAGGTCCAAGCCCTGATGACTTGTACAAGTGACAAAGCCTTCCAAGAAGTGGCATCTGACGCCTCTTACAAGAAATCTATGCATGACTATTGGTGAATACTAACAAAAGTCGTACCCTCCTATATAATATTTCAACATCAGAAAGCCATCAGCCCCAGGATCTACTTGGCCTGACAGAAATTGCCTTAAACCTAGATTTATGGTTTGAAACAACACAAAACAATTCAAGCTCCTCAACATGCATACTTTGAACCACTTGATAAATACAAATTTTAACAAATGATTAAATATGCCTGCAATTCTAGGTAGCTACAAGAGGCATTCCTAAATTATGCACTAGTTGTTCCCAAGAGACATCACACAAATCAAAATATTTGCTAATTACTGTTACCCTCTTTCCACTGCATTTATTGAAAGGTAATGTTATCCCTCTCCTTATGCACTCTTGTTCATTCATCCATCCATCCATCCATCCATCAGTAATCTATCATGACGACAGGTCCACAGTCTTCCACAACAGTTCTTCCACTTAATGCGATCTAGAGCTTTCTCCTTCAAATGAGAACATCCTATTCTCTCCCCAAGGTCATCCAGCATCATCTTACATCATCTTCCTCATCATCTGGTCTCTTCTATCCGTCCGTCTAATCTTTCCTTCAATAACTTCTTTTAGAATGGAGGCATATTTCACTTTTAATATTCACTGAAAATATGTAATCCTGGTGAGATTTAACAATGTTTATTTTAGTCATCCTACTTGAAATACAAATTATTGTATTCTAGTCTTCATTAAAAAATGAAATAGCATAAAACCACATTAACCAGAAATTCACATAAGTTAGAATTGTGTATGTTGTAGGATACCAGTACTGAATTATATATTTTATTCGTAAACTTCATCAGAAATGTGACTAACATTTCCATCTACATCTTTTAAGCAGGACCTTAGCTTGTTTCCACTCATTTTTATGCTCCGTATGTATTTATACACTTACATAAATTCTAAAATAAATGTTGAGCTCTTTGTCAAATATAACAAGCAACAGGTACACTGACATGTATTTTCTAAAAAGGAATAACAATCATCACATTTTGAGACACGATATATGTACACCGTAATACACACATCAAAAATACACTGTAAATTTAAAAAATACACAACTGTTCAAGATTGGATTGTGAGGCTTTCGCAGTGGTGGAACCGTGAGTAGTTCTGTGTTCTGACATCTGATACCACAGTGTAATACCACACCAGTGATAATCAACTGTTCCTCAAAAATGTCACTTGACTCTAACCCGACTGCATGGTGTTAAGATTCCAACTATGCGAGATTTTCAAGTAGTATGGTATATGTCATTTTGAAGATTATTGCACCACACTTTACACCCAGGAAATTAAATTGATTTATACAGACACTGAGGCATTCTGTGTGTTTCACAGTTTCTTTGTACTGCTTGATCATGTTAGTCAAAGGGTACCGGGACCAACTCAGACTGAAACCAGCTGTGATAAAAGTTTCTGGGGTGTAAAGACAAAGTAGACCTAGAAGTCATGGGTAAATACTGCATCCCATACAAGTGCAGCATGATGTATGCTGAACAGATGGGCAAAACCACAGACTAAATGTAAAGGACATGAGATGTGTATACCTGGGCAAGCCAGAGAAGTCCTTGGTGGCAGAGTAAGGATTTGAAACAGGACACAGGGCTGACTCTTTGACAGCACCTCAATACTAACTAAGGCAAAAGGATGCACGGACTGCTTGATCGAGGAGGCTATATCTCAGAAACTTCTAACAGGGACAGTTATCAGTTTCAGTCTGTCCTGGCACCCTTTGCCTAATATGGTCAAACAGAGAAGAAATACACCAATATAGAGAGACAAGACCAAGCCAAGCAAACTCATGACTTAGCTTGCTAGCTCCACTTGGCCTTCGCTTGGTTTGGATTACTGGCTACAGACTGGCATGCAGATGGGACAGTTTCAACCCACCGTGTCTTAAGACTCTGATGTTGGAAAGAGATGTCCCTGAAACGTCGGTCATGGTTAACCAACTGATGGGGCTGATTGCATATGAAGGTTCAGGTAGCGTTAGGTATTGGTTATTATGAATTAGAATCAGCAGTCATAGTCCTTCGCTGATGATATATTCCTAAAATAGTCAGTTTAACCAGAAAACCAGTAATTGATAGTATAAGAGACCTAGACAATCCAGTGAATAAACAGAATATTTTGCTTGTTTAATGATGGGGTCTGTAACTCAGACTTTATAGTGAAAGTGGTCAGATGTATCTGAGGTTCTGTATGCCTGGAAGAGTAGAACTGCAGTAAACCTCATTCAGGTTAGGTGATGGAGATTTGACCCTGCTATCTCCCAAAATATTGAAGTAGGAGTTCTAACCACTTGACCACAATGTTATTACAGTATATATCCTTGAAATGGATTACAGAAAAAAGTACAGAAACACTTGTTGAAGTTATTGTGTAGAATAGAACTGACGGGTGCAAGTAAAGAAATAATAATTATTGCATTATACAGATCACCTAGCGGTGTACTACTTGAATTTTTTTGTGCATAGGCCTATGCTCCTTAATACAGAATGCAACTTGGACTGATGTGTTACAGGAAAATGATATGGGGAGGGAATTCCTTTTACAGCATCTTTAACTATTATTCCAGTTTAGCTTGTCTGAAAGTTAGAAGGAATATTGTGAAGTTCTTCAAACATTCATAATTAATGTTATAGCAGGAAAAAACTAAAAAATTGATAACTATATATACAAAGTAAGATTTAGGAACACGGAGATAAGTGTAAGGCATATACAGAGGAATGCAGTAGTGTAATAAAAACTGCTAAATCGAACAACATTCAGCATATTATAACTAGTTCAAAAAATACTCCTATTGTGGAAATTAATAGAGAAAGAGGCTCTCTGAATAATACATTGATTTGTAATATACACCTACAAGTGAAAAAGGAAACAGCTTCAAGTCCAAGCAGAGTATACAGGGTGTTTCACGACTTTAGGGCATAACTGCAGGAGGTGACTTCCTAGGTCTTTGTGATCAAAAAAGTTCATATAAACATGTGTCCGATTTTGGACGGTTACGGAGTTATGACCGTTTTAAACTCAGAATAGAAGGTAACACTTACTGACAATAAATGGAACAAAATAATAAATCGGCATAATACATGATGCATATAAAGTATGAATGTAAAGTTAACTTCGTGAAATTTCCTTTAATTTGAATTTATTGGTGCTTAAAGCTGATTTTCGAAAATGCCACCGCCAGCTGCAACACAGGCTGCTGCTTGTTTGTGAACAGCGCCGGACATACCAACCCTCCCTGCCTTAGGTACATCTCAAGTGTCGAGATAATGAGAACGCTCTGTCTGTAGCTGACTAAAAATAGCGACCCGCCAGCTGACAGACGCGGTTCACACGAGGGCGTGTACGAGAATGAAAAAATGGTCATAACTCTGTAACCGTCCAAAATTGGACACATGTTTATATTAACTTTTTTGATCACAAAAACCTTGGAAATCACCTACTGCAGTTATGACCTAAAGTCGTGAAACACTCTGTATAACACATTTGCCATTACCTCCTTAGGAACTATGAACTTGTACATGACAAACTTCATGCATTCACAAACTAGTAATAATTACAGTAAGCAAAAAAGATGAATTTGTTCTGTTATAAATAATAGAGACTGAATTGACTGAAGTAGTCCACAGCTTCAGTAGTAAAATTATTGGCAGGACTTGATGACATCTCACCTTATTTATTAACGAAATGTGTGCTAACTTCGTTGACAAGTGGCGGTCGCTCAGTCGGTATAGATTGCTTGCCGACTACAGACCACGGAGTGCCTTACACAAATTGGTCAGTGCATCAATTACAGAAGGCATCTTCCCATCCACATTAAAAATTAAGTTGATAAACCGATTTATAAAAAAGAGATGAAAGATAATGGAAACAATTATTGTACAAAGCTCTTTCAATGAATCTTGAAAAAGTTACAGCAAATAAGCTATTTCTTTGTTAGACAAACACAGCATACTTAATAAATCTCAATTTGGATTTAGGAAAAGGGCTGTAAAATACATGGGAGGGTTAAAACAAAGATAGTTTTAGGCAACTAGAAATGTTAACAGTATACTCCTAGACATTCAAATAACAATATTCCATGCAAAAGAATTTCTGCCTGTAGATGGAGGCGGTATGTTAATCTGAAATGTCAACAGACTTATATTGAACTGCACACTGTCGCGTCACAGAAGACAGTGCTCTTCATAGTCACTGCTGTGAGAACCTCAGATTCAACAAGAGATGCACATTTTTGCAAGAACAGGTAATAGCAGTATTCCTGCAGCTTATATGAGGCATGGTTACAATGACCTGCCATATTATAATCTTGCTGTTACAAGAAATGAGCTGTCGTCAGGAAGAGGAAGAAAGAAAGCAAGCATGCTCCAGCAAATACTCGTATACATAATTTGGCACAGTTGTATTTGGAGTTTGGAAACCATTGGTCTAGTAGCTTTTCTGTGGTGTCCAAGAGGAAAGTTGTTAGATTGGAAGGGATATATAATCCTGCACTCTTTAATATTGTGTTGAGCGTTTACAGGATCACAGTGCTTTAATACATCACGTACTAGAGTACATATAACTTTTGGCACAATTTGGGAAGAACTCGGTTAAAATGAACTCTGTAATTCTTACACAGTATACACACGCACACACGAGTGCACAATATGGTTTGTGTGTGTTTTCATTCTCATACCACTTTGAGGAAAACGTTGATTTTGTGTACTTACACACATGATAGCCATATGTTTGAAACTGTGACATCGAGGTATCATGATGTAATTTTATTCTGTTTCAGCACCTATAATTGTATGAAAGGGGTTAGGGAAAGTAAAAAAGAGAATAAAGGATGAAAATACAAAAGAGATGATTCCCCATTAAATTTCAGTTTGGCTCTCGTAGTATGATAATATGCATATATAAGACACAGAGTTATTCAAAACAAGCAGGAGCATAATAAACTCCCCTTTATTTGGTATGTATGGGGAATGTCCCTTTTGTTACAGGAGAAAGAAAACTTAACAGAACACATTATAAAGTCAGGGAAACGTGCTGCTTTAATTCTTGTGTGGGAGTTTTTCTAGGTGAAGTAGTGGATCACAATGATCACAAATTCAACTAGCTTCTGTTGTAAGGGTACCTATGCAAAGGAGGATGGATAACGCTGCTAGTGGAGGCCAGGAGAACCACCATGTGGTACGTGAACATATGCATATGTGCATAAATTTGTTTTTTATTGAATTTATAAAAAATTGTTTTCTTTGGATTCTTTCTGGATGGTTGAGAATTCTGAACTGAAAGTACTGTATGTTGAAAAATTAAGACCTAAAATTTAGTAACCTACAGAAATAGTGGTTTGTTTTATATTCTGTAATATTATGGATATGTGCTGTTTTCAGAATTTCTGTACAAGCTCCTGGAAAATATTTAAGAAGCAACTCATCCTGAGGTTGTCTGCTTTTATGGATCATATTCTTTCTGTGTATGTACATTTTCACGCTTTTTTTTTTTTGTCACAGAAGACCCACCATTGGCACTGTACATGTGTCTTGTTTGTGATATTTAATTAATAATGCCAGCAGGATCTCAGACCACACCATCAAATAAATGGCTTCACGAATAATGAACTGAAAATAATGTGGACGGAAGCAGCTGTGATCTATTTTCAGGTGCTGTCCTGGCATTTGCTTCAAGTGACTGAGATAACCCATGAAAACCTGTCAGAACAGCCACTGTCCCAGCCAAGATTAGATCAGTCACCTAACTCCCAAGTCAGAAGTCACTTAAACTTGTTTGGTAACTCTGCTTATTAATTTTTTTTACCTGCTGTCCTCCAGCATCTAGGCAGAGATGAAAATCAGTAAGTAACACATACTTGATGCAGAATATACAAAACCAGAAAGGAAAATTATCCTGAGGTGTCACTGAGCCCACAAACAAATTTACTGATAAAAAGTTAAAGGTAAAGTTGCTCCTTTCACAGAGCACAAACATACAGGAGTTATGGTGGTACAGCTATAAAAAAGTAAAGCTATCCCTGTAACAGGCCGTGAAGGCCCATAGGGTTGTGAGACGTTGAGGCTCCCACATTTTCTAGACAATTGGCTCAAAGATGGCAGTAAGGTTGTCAGCCTTACGCGCCGGCCGCGCTTTACTCCCCAGGAAAATTATTTAATTAATTCCTGGTACTAATTTCTGTTAGAGGCTGAGTAAACCCCCAGGGCCTAGTGTGGCTGGAAGGATTAGGTCACTTGAAAAAAATCCAATGACCTCATTGGGACTTGAACCCGCGACCTTCCGGCTTGTAGCATAGTACCTTAACCACTACACTACCGCGTGCCCCGGTGGTACAGCTGTATGCATTCTAAATCTCAACCTTGGAGGGAAGTGGCCATTTCCATCAGTAAATTAAACAGTAAACAGAATTACCATAATGTTCTTGGATGAAACACACCATCTCAGCCTCACACTGAGTATAACAGGCACTACATTACACAGCAAAGTAAGCAAACGTATTTGCATTCAATACTATTTGTGATTATGTTCCATGCTTCATGCACAAGATGAAATATGGAAACTGCATAGCAGAACAAAATATCTAGGCCTCTTAAGAACAGACTGCTACATATTCGCTGCGGCAAATCCAGATCCAACACAGTAGGGGACATAAAGTAAATTACTTGAAGCATTTCGAACAAATAAAACATCCATGCAAAACACTGCTTGTAGTTTAATGGTGTTGGTTACTCTGTAGTGCTGAATGCTCAGACTCTCGTGAATAATGAACTAAAAAACATGGAAAAAGGGAGCCATGGCCTAACATAAGGTACTCTTCTGGCATTTGCCTGGAGGAGCTGATGAAAACTGCAAAGAACCTCAGTCACGTTAGTTGGTGTCCTAACCAAGATCTGAACCAGGCACCTCCCAAATACATGTCAGAAGGGTTACCACTTAAGCAAACTTACACGGTAAAACAGTTGATAGAATCTGTTCTGGAATGGATAAGATACTGATGTATCAAAATCTTCTACATTCAACTTTTTGGAGAATGGGACAGCCTTGAACAGTAAATATCCCGTTAAAACAAACCAGAAAGCTTCGCTGAACAAACAATTGAAAATTTCCTCAACCTTGTTCATGAAACAAACGCACATATACATAACTTTTCTTGACAGTTATAGTTTGAAGTTTCATATTCAGTAGCACAAGAATATAAAATGCACAGTCTGTAATCTGATGTATGTGTGTGTGAAACACATCTGAACTAGAGAAAACTTTTTGTGAAACTGATGCGTATCTTTTTGATACTACAGTAAGCCCAATGCTGATCAATTTATTTGGTTAAATGTGTCATCCCCTGCTGAATACTTAATTTTCTGGGGATCTGGATACTGAGGATTTTCAATAACTCCTTTTCCAAACTTGAACTCAAGAAAATCACGTATATTATTTGGTGCAGGTACTTTTTGTCCAATGAATTCAATGCTTGCCATTGGATGCAGAAAATGTTCTGGAAACTCTTTGTCTTGTTTATGGGTGGGAAACCAGGTGTCCTTTGTCATGGTACTGTTACGTTGATAAAATGGAAATATATCTACATGCAAGTGATTGATGTGACTAAACTGAACACGAAAGAAATCACCTTCTCCTGCTTTCTCCCACACAAAACCATCATCATCTACAACAGATTGTATGCGGGCACGTGCCAGTAAGGGACAACGATCTATATCTTCACGAAACATACCAATGTCTACATCATAGTCCCATGGTAGAATATCTGCAGCTCGCATGGCACCAAGTAGACTACCACCTTCCAACCAGTAACGGACGCCAGCCTGATCAAGGTGAGTAAATACATGGCGAGCAGTTCGGCGTAATCCAGCCAAACAACAGGGTGGTGTCCATTTCCCTTCCCACAGGTACTGGGGCATGTCATCCACCACAGTGCCAAAACAGCGAGGCACGTCCCTGTTGCACCCATACCATTCCACAGTTCCAGTTTCCCTTACCACCTTCTTCAGTCCCATATTCTGAAACATTTGCCGCTGTTGAACATGCTCTAGTTGTTGAATCTTCCATTGGGCATGATGGCTTTTATACAGTGGACTGCCATCAGTAAACAAAGTATTCTGTAACAACTGTACTTTAATACTCTCTGCTGCTGTTTGGATATATAATGCATCTGGAAAAGGAAGGATTAATGCTTCTGGCAGTTTTTTTAGCATCCGACTTTCTATTAAAATGGCATGCTTCCCTTTCACAGCATCACACAGGTCACTATCTGATAAGTCATATTGTATGATCCACTCCCTGATTTTTAAATGTATGTTCAAACAACTAACTGTCTTCATACTTGAAAATGGAGCTGCCACAATGTTGTGGGGTTGTCTCTTCAATTCAAAAATCATGCTGTGCAAGGAATTTTCTGAGAGAATTCTAGTTGCATCTGGGACAAACAAAACATACTTTGTTCTAACATGGTACAATGGATTTCTTTCTTGGTTGGAATGTCCAAGCTGAAATTGCATATTTATAACTTTAACATTCGTTGCACTGTTTGATACTTCTAGTGGAGGGTAAGGCAGAACATCACTCACTATTAAGACTGATATATTTGGCAATATGGACAATATCGATCCCACAGTCTTCGTTATATCATTCTCAAAGAAATCTGACTTTCTAATTATTACAGTTACAGAATTTTCTATATGTTTCAGAGTCTGTGGAACAGGTGTACTGATCAATGATTTGTTTAGCTGTATGCTTTGTGCCTCATCATTTCTAGAAAATAAGATCCAAATGCAACATAAGACAGACAAATTGAGCAACAACACAATTAATGTGACTAATTTTGCAACCCGAATTCTCATAGTAATTAAAGAGTCGAAGAGAGAGAACAGATAATTCCAGTCATTTCACATAAAGTTTAAAGTGGGTATCATTAGAGTCTATGTGATTCACCCTTTTATACGAAAATTGGCTATGACGTAGGAACATGAACCTTTGATGATAAACATGATACGCATCGTTCAACTGTTCCACGGAAAAACAATGTAAAATGTTCAGGTGATCGCAACTTCGAACGCCGTAACTCTCACAAATTCAACGAAGTTAACTGCCTGCATATGCGTCGTCTGCAATTCCACTAATTAGTAGTATCACGGATCACCACACCAATGATAGCACACAACTTTAGCACGGATCATCAAGAGGCTGAAATTTTCTGTTCCCGGACGAAATATTGTTAACACTTAAAAGAGAGAAAATAATTAACATCATCATAGATTAGGCACCACTGAACATAGTTCCTTCATCGGTAACACTGCAGCGTGAAGTATCAGGTATTCAGCTTGTGAAAAAGTTAAGGTGAGAAATTCGTTATTGGATATTGGCAACATTGATATGATGGGCATGGGCCTTGCGAAGTTGCGAAGTGTGAGAGCGGTGGGCGTTGTGTTCAAAAGGCAGGTTATGTAGTGTGTGCTTGTAATACTCCTGTGAGCAGTTACGCTGTTGGCTGTAAGGTTTATTTTGGAAGGGTTGGTGCAAATATTTTGGGCTAAAAGTGTTAGAAGTTTTAATATTTTTATGTTATGGGATGTATGCTTCTGTTGGAATTTGTCTGGGCATCAAAAAATACGAAACCAAAGAAGGCGCATCCAAATTAAATTTTCTAGAGGGCGTATTTATCAAAAAGAAAAATTAAACGTGATCAGGTACGTATTTCGGACCCTACATTTCAAGGGGGAAAAATGAAGCGCATCAGTGTTTATATATTTCCTTGTATATCAAGTAACTTTAAAACAATACAGCCATCAGGTTACGTCAAATTTGTAATATGAATACATTGTACCATTTTTTTTTTTGAAAAACCAGTAAAGAGAGCAGAAACTTTTCTGGTGAACAGTATTCATAATTTGCATTCGTAGATATCGCACAATCCCAACTGTTCGTGGAATGTTTGCTGATGAATTTGATAGTAATGTGGGGATATTTGTTAAATTATATTGGTGTCCCATATAGAGGAAACAACAGTCTTAAAGATGTTTGAAATCATAATCGCCAAACAGATTAGCACAGCAGTCTTTACATCTATTCAGAATGCCTGCGTTCATATATTTGTCAGGAGCAATGCGTTAGGCTTCCCCCCCCCCCCCCGTCATCATAGGCAAATGATTAGGCAGACCATAAGTTCCCAAGGTGTGTTCCACAGAGCTCAGGGTTCTTTGAAGCACTCCCAGAGGTTCTGCAAATATGTTTAATAGCATATTTCATCATGATTGCTAAATTAAGAAGTAATCTTCATAGAAATTGTGTAAACAGTGTTTATAGAAAATTAATTCTCTCTGTTAGTTGTAAAGAAATTGTATGAGGTGCTTTATCACCCCTTCTCCTCAACTTCCATTCAGAATATGCCATTAAGAATGTTCAAGAAAATCATGTGGGGTTGGAATTGATTGGAGCATATCACTTCCTTGTATATATGAGAGATATTAATGTTTTGGGTGAAAATGCACGTGCCATTAAAGGCACATATAAAATTTCCTGTATAATATTAAAGAGGTTGGTCTGCAAATGAACAGAATACTAAAGACGAGTTCATGTCTCATTACGAAATGGAATTCAAAATCATAATAAGAAGGTAGCTACCAGATTCATTAAAAATGTGCCAGAATCTGATTGCTTTGAACGACTGTAACAATTCAGAGACATTAAATATTACAAGCCAAAGAATACAGTAATTCTGAGGATTAAATATTACAGTCAGGAAGTGCTGCTGTTATTCAGTTGGTAAATGTTTGTGTTCCCATCTTCTGTGTAAGAAGAATGAATAAACAAATAAGCAAATAAATAAAGATTAAAAATGCAAAACTATACTTTTATCCCTTGTTTTATGTGTGTGATATGGGGTTTCTGACCCTAATGATAGAACACACATTTCAGATGTTACTGAGTATACTTCTGTATGCAAGTGAGAGGAAGTAACAGAAGGTGGGGAAACTTACATAATGATGACCTTCATAGTTCATACCCATCAACAAGCATTAGTATGGAAATCAAGGAGGGTAGAGGATGGATGTGAAAACCTGAAGGGATGGGACCACTTTGGTAGATGTGTGGGATAATATTGTCACATGGTTGTGACTATACGTGGGGTTTGGATTGATAATTGGATTTGTTGGACTGTTATATAACTCATAACTACAGGTAACTGTAGCAGTTTCACTAATATAGACACACTACAAATCACTGTACTGCAACACATATAAAGTCTTCTATATCTTCACCAGTCGTTGCCTGGTGATGACTTCAACAATGTTGATTCCTCATCTTCCATACTCATGTCCTTACTAGCTGGAGAGTGTCTCGCAGCTCCTTCTGGCTGCATCTGACTCATGGCCATAACTAACTTGTCCAGTTTGTCCTTCTTATGCAGCATTGGGTTAGACTGCGTAGTAAACATTGTTTCCAACAGCTCCTTCATTATTGCTGATGTGTAGACAAGCCATTATCTAGCAACAGTTTGCTTGTTTATCGAGCCGTTTTCATGCAATGGACAGTGTTTTAAATAGTCGTATCACAGTATTAAGATAGGTCTTAAGAAAGAGAGGTGTGGACTGGATTTGTCTAGTTCAGGATAGGGTTAATTTGTGGGTTCTTGTGAATGTGGTAATGAGCCTATGCATTCCATGAAAGGCAAGAAATTGTGACTAACTAAGCTGAGGCTCTCAGTGCAAGTTTTGAGGCATCCTACAGTAATTGATTAAGGGACCCCTTACCCCATGATTGATTTCTGTGTTTTTAAGTATGTGACATCTTCACCATTACATTTAGTGACCACTGGAATAAAGGCCATAAAATGTAACAAATTTAATAGAATATTTGATCTGTTCTATTAAATTTATTATAATGGATGGCTTGTTATTCCAATAAATTTTAGTGTCCTAGCTGTTCCCCTTCCTTCCTTTATCAACCCTTTTGTCCTCCATTTTATTTTCTTTACTCTCCTTCACCAAAGTCTAATGTTTGACATGCTTTGTGCCCATGTCTTCCAATTGGTCTCATATTTTGAAGTTTTCAGATCTGAATTATGTGTGTACCTCATTTTCCCTGTGAATGTTGTATGTTACACCCTCCTCATTCATGAGTCAGTCTTCCAAGTACAGGAAAACTGTAAATTGTGATGCTCCTCTTTATGTTATTTTTCATCTCAGTTTCTGCTCCTCTCATAGAGTAAGGGGCCCAAGTTTAACTAGGGTATGAAACAAGTACAGCTTAGCCAGTATAGTGACAGGCTGCCTGCTTGATGGCTGGAGTTTGATTCCTGGCAAGGGGAAGAGATTTTTCTCCTCTCAACAGCATTCGAACCAGCTTCGGGGTCCACCCAGCCTCCTATTCAGTGTATACTGGGGACTCATTTCCTGGTTGTACAGTGGCTGGAACATAAATCTGACCACTCACTCCCATCTAGTGCCAAGGCCAAGGATGGTGGAGGTGTATCTCCATTCTCCACATATATCTACATGGCATAGAGCTTAATTAATTAAGCACAGGGACAATTTTCCTTTTTTTACTTATTTTTTAATGCAGTTTGCTCATCCAAATAGATATTATAAATATTTACTGAAGTGTTATCAGTTAGTGTTTGTATCCTTCCTGGCTTTAGGTTGCTTGTACTCTTGAAAATGATAGGGAAACAGTGCTGAGATTTTCGGCAGAGATTTAACTGTGTTGTGGTAGCATAAACTGTACCTGTAATGGAGGACATGCCACTTCAGATTCCAGAAGGCTGAGGCCTGGGAGCATAGCCATTATATCTGGTATGGAAGAAATGCCATTATCATGTGTATATTAAGTTGATTGTAATCATAGGTTTCTTTTTGGCAGTTGTGTAAACTGTAAGCTTGTCAATCAGTTCATCCAGAAGAATTTCAATTTTAATATATGAAATAATCATTGCCATTTCTTCTCTCCTGTTATATCCACATGCTCCATTTCAGTAGTGTGTTTTGCGTGAACAAGTAAAAATAAAATTCAGATGATGTTTGAGGCAGTGGATCTGTAGTAGCCAGTTTCTTGTGTGTGTACCGTGTTCATTACTGCTGGAGAAACTTAATTTTTTTAAAAACTAATTAGAGTTATATTGTTGCAAAATTAGTAATGGAACCAAAGACGTTTTCTTTCTGAGAAGCATAAAGGCTAATTCTTGTGTAGACTGTGTGACTGGCTAAACAAGTGGAGTTGTCAGAGAGGCAAGTGGAACGCTGGTTATGTCTCAGACGTTCACAGGATAAACCTTCAACATTAACAAAGTTTTGTGAGACATGGTGAGTTTCTGCATGTCATGTTTCTATAGGTACTAACTGTAGATGAATTTTTTGACTGTATAATATATGTGACAAGATTTATTTTTAATTTTCCAGGTGTCAGTGCTTATACTATACATTCTCATTCTCATATGGTGTATTCTGCTTATGGGAAAAGCCATGGTTATGCGACATTAACCATAGTTGGTATGGTTATCCTCACCAGGTATGTTACCTGTAGCCATTAAGCTGAACGAGTGATTGTTGTTTTTAGAATCTGTGTAATGTTCATAGAATTTTGTTGAAATTTCAGACACACAGTAGCTTTGCAACTGAGAATGAGATGGGTATGTTGCTTATGTAAGAGGTGATGGAGTGGATTCCTTATTAAATTGTAAAACATTATTTTGTAATAACATTCAGCAAATTTGCAGTATGGTTGATTTTCTCACATTACAAAATTCAGCATTTGATTCTGTTTGATGCTGATGGTATTGTTATGCTGCTTGATACATGGGGGTGTGGAGCTTGACATGCTATGCGGGGAGAACAGCGATTGATGGAATTTGAGAAATGCCAGAGAGACTGTTTTTATCCAAGAGAAGTCAACTGAGAAGGGAGTATAAGTACTTAATGAGGAGTATAATATTTTATAATCTTGTAGTATTTTTAAGTTGATTAAAACAAGCAGGATAGTTTTCCTTTTTACTCTCATCCCAGTTGGCACTGTTACAGGTATTACAAAGCAATGTTTCCATCTTTTTCAAGACCATCTTATTGTACTCGTACTCAGGGTTCAAATTAAAAAGAAAAAGAAATGGGAACTTGTAAGAACTTGTTATGTGTGATTTTACATTAGTGGTATATAAAAAGTTGTTATTAATGTAGTGTGTAACGTTTTATTGACCTTGGCACTGGCTGGAGGTGAGTGGTCAGCTTCATGCCCCTGTCCCTGCCCCTGTATCCATTAGATAGGCGGCCGGGCGGGCCCCAGAACTGGTCTGGGTGATGTGGAGAAGAGAGAACTCTTGACGCCACCCCTGTCATCCAGTCCATAGCCAGTCTCCACACTGGCTACGTTATCCTGGCTTAAGTTGGAGTCTTAGTATATGTCAGTATTATCTATTAATATTTTAACATGAAGTAAAAGTATAAAATGAAACTTGATACTCTGATGGCCTTTGTAGCCACATTTAAAGAGTTTTTATTGAGGTTTTGTTATATTACATTTCAATTGTATGTCACAGAACACAGTATGTTTGTGTAAGATTTGAGGCTTTCACGGCGGTGACTATGAAGAAAGCAGTCTTCTGGGATACATATACACGGTGCCAAATCCCAGAAGACTGCTTTCTTCACAGTATGTTTGTGTTTGGTGCAGTGTGTTCAAACAGTCTATGTGGTTTCTGATTATATAGTATTTACCAGGTACGTGATAAGTGCCAAGTTTCATGAAGAATTGTATTAAAATGATATGTGGTGCAGTACTTACAGAGGTATAAAGCTTTTAAATGCTAGATACAAGGAAATACAGAATTTTGAAAGCACTGAGTATAGCACTAGGACTTCGTCCAAAGAAAGCGTAAAGAAGTCATATTGTGACATACTCACTTTTGTGATTCTCATGATTAGAAATAAGGAGTTATGAATTGGATATTTAGTATCATAGACTCCAGTGAATTCACACCTTTCTGGATTCTTAACATGAAATACATGCCATTGGTGCTATATTTGTTGTAGTATCATGAAAAAATCTGCACAAAGATCATGTTTATTGTTCATTTATTCAGCTCACTTGATCATTGTTAGGTCTCTTGTTGTGAAATACAAGCAGGCCCACATGGTTCATATTTTTGTGTTACATTGGTATCTAAATGTTTTAATGCTTGAATTGCCTTTTGTGTTTAAAGTAGAGCATCACTTCTCACTTCTGGTGGTATTACATGATCTCACTGGCTGTATCAAAAATCTTTGATATAAAATGGAAAGATTTCTGGCAGAAGTTTATACATCACATAGCTACCATATGCCTTACGGGATTCTCATGGATGTGCAACCTCCATCGCATTGGAACGCTGGTGCTTCTCACTCATGAGTGTTCTGATATTTCTGTTAATCTGCCAATATGTCACTGTATAACTGTATCTACAGTCTGTTTAACGAACATTTTCTCTGTGCTGACATAGGTAATGGGACATGTTTCTTAGCATCCAGTAATTCACAGAATTTCCCCTGGAGTACATGAGTTTGGATGTATGAATTTTCCAAAGGGGCTGAAGTGTTCATTCAGCTGCTAAGAAAATGGCTAGCAGAGTAACTGAAATTGTGCAGTGGTAATACAGGGAGAGCATTTCTTTGCTAGATAGCTATGCTTTCATTAAATTTACATTGAACTAGGTTGTAGGGTTTAAAATAGCATGCTGTTGTTTGATGGTCAGCAAAGCTAAACTGTAAAACTTGAAGTATATATTCCTCATATTGCTCAGCTCAGGGATCTTGTAAAAGCATGAAAGCATTTTGATACTGGTCTAAGTGTTCCTGGATTTCAGTACCAGCATTTTGCAGTGAGTTATTGTTCAAAGTATTTAAAGTATCTGGCAAGCAAGGAAACCATTATGGTAATTTATTTTCATATAGCACCTAAATTCACACCAATGAATCCTACATTCTCATGTGTGTGCAGGATATATTTATAAATCTCTGAATTTCAATAAATTGTTGATCACGTGAGAGCATATATGAGAGGCAGACCATACTGGAAGGACTGAGACACAATAAATTAATGTTACATTACATGCTCTCTTATAAAGTAGTAGCAAAGAGTAATAGGTTTCTTTCAGCGTGGATGGTTGGCCTCAGTTCACTTTGTAACATGCCAGAATATGTTGCATCTGTCAGTGTGCAGTAATGTTGGATAGGACTTCGAGAGGTTCAGAACATTGTCAGCAGTAACTTCCTAGGTGATGGCTGAGTCAGGAATTATTTGGCGGCAGGGGTGGACAAGTACTTGTACTGCGTACTCTGATGGGTGATTTGTGGTTCTTGATGGTATATGGAAGTATCATTACCAGTGATGTGATGAAAAAGAATTGTTGCCTTCATCATGGTACCACTCCAGCAGACAAGAACTCATGCCCATGTACTCTTCTCTCAATTCCCTCAAAACCCACCCTTCACAGACTTTGTGGAAATCAAGAATATTTTGCATTGCTAAATGATTTGAACTCATACTGATGTCTGGTGTTGATGCACTGTCCTGTACTGATATTCGTCCATCCTTGAGGATCATGGCTCTGGCTTGTTCCTGTTTGTTTGTCATCACTAGGGCCTGGATCTTTATGCACTAAAAACACTTAAAATGTGTGCTAAAAAGCAGGAAAATATGCACCAAAAATAAAACAATATGCACTTGAGAAGCAGGTCACTTTGTTCAGACTCACCTATTTACATGTATCATTCACTGCAGAAAGTAGCATCACAAAAGGCAACTAGAAGTCTCTCAGTGTTTTCTGGAGACAAACTGCGTCTGTTGTCTGTAAAAATGAGTTTATAGGCTGAGAATGATATTTCTACATCAACTGATGTGATTGGACAGTATTTATACACTGGCGCTGAAGGTTCAGAACATTCATCTGGCAAAGATACCCTAATTCCACTCAAGTACTGACTAATTAACTGAATCTTTTTTAGTCCTGGGTTCGAATTCAACACCATTTCTAACTTGCATTTAATCATGTCTCCAATTTCGCCTAGTGTGAAATTCGTTCGTCTGGATGTAGCTTAACAACTACGAAGTTTGCTATGCATCGGCCACATAAATCGGTTGTCTCATCCTTAATTATCCTTAATTTCAAACATATATGCAGAAAAATATGCTCTTACGTTTAGAATATGCAGTAACGACCAAAACCTTCAAAATACGCATTTTCAAAAATCTGGGCCCTAGTCATCACTTACTGCTGTGGTGTGGTACTACAAGCATGCTCAATTGGTTTCTTTTATGCCTCATGCAAACAGGTCTGTCCACTCACATTCTGTTCTCATATTGGGCTCTTAAATGTTTGTGAATTTCAGCCGCTTTAACATCTTTTGTCCCCACCCACAGAGATATGTATACCCACAACAGAACCTTGGCCAGTTGTTCTTTGATGCGCTCATGGTCTCTGCTTTGCCAGAGCTTGCTTACTGAATCAGAGGTCATGTGGGGCAGTGTATTGATGTGTCATCTGATGGGATTGGGAGCTGCAAACTTCCATCAGGCTGTCTTGTGCCTTCTACACATGGAATGGAAGTCCAGATACATATTGAATCACCCTCGTATGTTTCAGAAAGCTGGTACAAAGAAGTGGAAACAGCAAAGGTAAAGAAGCAACTGCTTGGTACCAAAATGCCCTAGGATATGTTGTAAGTTTGAGTAGCGTGAGGAATGATTTAACTCTAGAATCAGAACCGCAGACAGTGCACCAGTTGAGTTTCAGTCAGTATCATGAAATGAGCCTGATAAATACTCTGTATAATACGCAGACTCCGAGGAAAGTTGGAATCTTACACTGGTTGACATTTGTATTTTAATTATGGTTTTAAGACTCAGCTCTTTAGGTTTCATTTGTAAAATTTCTTCCTTAACTTGTTCTTGAATTAGAATTGCATGTGTTTTATACTGTTTTGGATTTGCCTCTGCATTTTCTGGGTGAGATCATTTTGCAGCATGCTAATTTGATTATCATTGCTAAACCGTTTATTTATTACCACTTTTTTTTTTGCCTGCTTCTGGTAGTAAACACCTATTAGAAGTAATTTTCGTTTTGTACAGTTCATTAAATTTTGCTGCCATATGTGATATATTTTAAGTATTTTGTTTAGGTATTAAATTTTGTATATTACATGCTGCAAGGTGTCCAGTGGTTTATTGTTCATTAGTGTCTAACCATTTAATAGAAATTTCTGTTTTGAATGATAAATTCTTAAGCTTCATCAGTGGTATGTTCTTTTTTTATATATACATAGTGCTCATATGTAGATAATAAAAATAGTTTGTATCAACATAGGTCCGGAAATGCACAGTTTCTGAGTTTATAAGGTCTGTCTATGACACTAAGCTCTTCAGATTACCTTACAGTAAATGTTCCAAATGTCCACCTCCTGCCTGAAAGAGGCCTCAGCTCGACTTCTCACTTCCACCCTAATATGATCGAAAATTCCTGGCATATTGCATGTTGTCTGAAAACCCACTTAGTTTGATTTTGGAGAGGTTCCACATCATCCACTGAAGTGGAATACACCAACGATTTTAAGTGGCCCCACAAGTAGAAATCCAGTGGATTTAAATAAGGTGAGGACTAAGGCCAGGCAATTGGTCCACCTCTACCTATCCATCGACCAGGATACTTTCAAGTCAGGTACCTGCGGGTAACAAGACTGAAATGTGCAGGAGTGCCACAATGCATGAAGTACAGTTCTCAATGAATGATCAGCGGCACACTGGCCAAGAAATCAGGCATGTTTTTTTTTTCCAAGATAGCTTTGTAATTCTTCCCTGTAATCCCATTTGGAAGTATGTGGGGTCCAAATAAATTATCACCACAAATACTGGGCCAGATGTTGATGAAGAACCGCTGTTGGTGATGTGATGGAAGAATTGCATGTGCATTTTCGTGTGCCCACAGATGCTGATTGTGAAAATTCTCAATTCCACCTGTGAACTGTGGTTCATCCGTAAATATCACCAAGGCAGGTAAGTTAGGATTTCTACCACTGCTGTAAGAACCACTGGCAGAACATTACTCACACAGAGTAATCTTTTAGAGACAAGGCCTCTACATGCTGCAGATGGTCGGGATACAGCTGTTGTTTTTGCAACACTCTCCAGACACTCAAATGAGTGATGCCTACTTGCATTGACATGCTTCGTGTGCTAATTCCAGGAGTTTCAGTCACAACATCCAGAATATCCTCTACTTCAGGAGTCATAAATCTTGATCACCCCATTGGCAACACGAGGTGCAAGATTCCCATGTTCACAAAGTCAGCAGTGGATACTTAGACATGTTTTCTTATCTGGACATCTTTGTCCTGGATACCTTTTTGTTACTTACGAGTCACCACAGCATTACCGTCTGCCAAACAAAACATGAAGTGCACATCGGCTAGCTCTTGATTTGAGTACATCATCTCAGTAACTTGCAATCACTACATAAGTATTGTACACTTCTCCTACTAAGATTTAGAAACTTTCTGAGATTATGTCAGACTAATACCATGACTGTCTTGGTATAGTGAATAACAGAGACCACATATGGGAATTACAAAATTGAGCTTAACATTCAGCAGTTTTAGAAAGCCCCGACTTGGAAACTATGCATTTCTGGAACTATGTTGATATGAACTTTTTATTATCTTTATATGAGGAATGCATTCCTGAAGTTATGTCATGTATTTTTTAAATACTCTGTATAAGAGTAATTCTTTTATGAAATGTACTTTAGTTAAGTTACATACATAATACAAGGGTTGGATAAAAAGTAGTGCAACATTGCTGTAACATGAAAGATGTGCGTCAGGTGGCACTAGCGCCATCTGTAGCTTATAGCAGAAGTTCAGTTGAAGTAGTGCAGTGAGTGACTGTGGCTGTGTTTCATTGAGTTGCTTTGTGCATCGTCTTGAAGTGCTGGAGTCCAGTTCAAGCACCCTAACATGTTTATGAAACAAGAACAACGCTCCTGGATAAAAAATTGAAGTTACAAGAGGTCATAGTGCACAAAACTGTTATCAGGGACTGCGAGAAGCATGTTGTGATGCTGTTTTGCCATATCGCACAGTGGCACGTTGGGCGAAATTGTTCCATGAAGGGAGGGATGCCATGCAGGACGACCCCATGTTGACAACCACACAATTCATCTTCTTTGCTGGCTGTCGATGGGCTGCATGGGAGTTAGCTGCTGAGGGAGATGTATGTCACAAAACCGTGCTCCACATTTTGCACGATATTCTTGGATACCGCAAAATTGCAGCGCGCTGGGTACCCCATACAATGTCCAAGGTGCAACAATGGCAATGTTATGCAATTGCACAGGACTTGTTGGACTAGTACCAGAAAGAAGGTGACGACTTCCTTGGAAGGATTGTCACTCCGGATGAAACTTGGGCTTGCTCATACGACCCGCACTTGAAACGACAATCAAATGAATGGAAGCATCCTGGCTCTCCTCCTCCAAAGAAAGTGCGCCCTACACAGAGTAATGTGAAGGTGATGTTCATTGTGGCATATGACATTGATGGAGTGATACTGCACCACACTGTACCTCAACGACAGACAGTAAAGCTGCCTACTACTGCAATTTCCTGTGTAATCATCTTTGTCCAGCGCTCAGGAGAAAGCGACGACACTTGTTGGCAATGAACCCCATCATCCTTCATGACAATGCAAGGGCTCATACTGCTGATGCTCTCAAGGATCTCCTTCGCTGCTGGCAATGGGAGATACTGCAATATCCACCATGCTCACCCGTTATGAGTCCATGCGAATATGATCTCTGCCAAAATGAAAGAACCACTGTGAGGGACATGTTACAACATAAGAGAGGAGATTATTCATGCTGTAGGGTGGTCACTGCTGGACATCAACAGAAGCGGACACGCTAATGGTGTATGACGCCATCCACAAATTTGGCAGAAGGTGGTACACATGGGGGGCGATTATATTGAAGGAATGTATGTGTGTTTACCTGAGGTCATAAAGTGATTTCACAACTATAGAGGTGTTGCCACTACTTTTTATCTGACCTATGTATTTTTGAGTAGGATTGCGTTTCTGTGTTTCAGCTTCTGTCATCAGTGTTTAATTCTTTTGTTATTTACTCGTACACTCTGATAATATTTGTCATATTTTGATTTCAGTGTTATTTTTAAGTTCACATTTTGAATTATGTTCCAAGTATGGTTCCAGTATTTAGTATTAATATGATGTGAGATGTATAATTGCTCATTCAGTTTTTCTTTCCAAATGTATTGGGCTTACATCAACAGCCCCAGCTATAGGCATGGCTACACTTGACTGTTCATCAGAATGGGACAGTTCATATGTGTGAACTTCTTACTGTGGAATGAAAACCGGGAAAATTTCGGCATGGCAGTATTTATTGAAGGAGAACAGTAGTGTGTACTACTCACTCTGTGTCGAGTATCACAGGTGCCGGAGTTGGGACTATGTTTTATCTACAATGATAAAGTAGACTTGGGAACCCCTGAGTGGATGAAGTCAGAAAGACACACTTATATAATATCAATGATAAGAAATTTAATTTCTTGCGTTTGTATCCACAAGCAAAGATATACTGTATCTCAGGTTTGTTAGACATGGTGTTAACTCAGCTGTGTTCCGTTGCAGTGGTGGAGATATTGACCAACACACATTATCAGAAGACAGAAGGGTGTGGAAAAAGGAAATAATTGTTCATCTGATATCATGCCCATCCTCATAAAAATGTAAGAATTTAATACCTGAGGGTTTGCCTGCCACAGTATAAAGTATGGACGCCATGTCCAGTCTGATGTTCACACGTGGGAAGACTCGAATGGTAGCAAACGTTACTAGTGGCTGCGTGTTTGAGTCGCTTCTTCATTGATGTATGCTGGTAGCCAGGGTCCATGATTAGCCTACACTAAATCGTGTATTCCTGTTTAAGTTACTGGACTGTAACAGGGCTGGACTGGTGGGCATGTAGTTGTAGCTAGTGTAGAACGTGTAGTTCTCACCAGTATTGTGGTATAATGTAGTTGTGAGTACTGTAGTTCAGTAGTTTTAGTCATTGCTGTGGTATGCTGTAGTTAATTGTATAGTACTGCATTATGTTTGGAGATGGTACATGGATGGTACTGGCCCTTGAGACTGGGTTACATCCTGACATCTTTAGAGAAATTGGATTTAGTGTAAGTCTGTCTGAGAACCTAGCTACCAGTGTACATCAGCAAAGCATAACCATTGACACACACGTACTGGGACTGCTGCTTCATTCCACATTATCCATGTTAAATGAAGCTGATCATGACCAAATACATGATGAGAACACCTGATCACCTAATGTTCTCCAGGTTCATCAGAATGGATGCAGACATTTCTGTGAAGCACTGGTAATCGATCGCGCACTGACGTGGGGGTTTGTCCAAGGAGGCATTTAGATGGGTTGCAGGTGGGTTGGAAGTTGAACATGTGAATCGGTGGTTTTGTTGCCTTCTGCTCGATGCAGTCTTTCTGAACCAGTGTGACAAGACATTGAATTGTTTGATTTTATGCATTTAACGAAATGTGGTAACATTGAGTCTAGTATCTCATGGATGTATGCTGCTGTTTGTTAAAATGTTTCTGTCTGGATATGCCTATGCATATCTTGGTGCCCAAGTTTTAATGACACTGATATGAAAGGTAAGTGAAATACCATGTAATTCTTATTTGGAGGTCAGTGTTTGCTGTAAGGATGCATGTACTATTATGTACCATTTGGATTGAAATAAAGGCGTAAAGCCCATCCCAGTTTTCACACTGTGTATTTTGTAATAGTTTCTGGACTTTTGTTGATTATCTGTGCATGAAATTTGTTCTTGTGTTTTTGTCATTAATGTGTAATATAGCATTTTATAGGATTTGGTTTGTTTTCAGATCCCTCTCAAGTTGAACCATGTCCTCGTAATAATTTTCAGTTTGGTTCTGTTTACTTTCCCCCCAGGGTTCTTTACTATTTCACCATCTCTTCATATTTGGTGCACTTTGGGTTTGCAGCATTCAGCTGTCAGCTATAGCAGCATAGTAATGTCATGCACTGAATTGAGTGAATATACCGAGATTATACTTTGAGAAGACCGTCTGAGGCCACTGATATTAGTATAGAATTATCTGTTTTGGTTGTGATCAGCATAAGAGTCTATTTTATTGTAGTGAATTTGCAATATTTGGATATACAGATGAACACTACATTTGTGAAGTATGTTTTTTCTCTCTTCAGTACATTTCGTGAGAAATCTGAAAGTCCAAAGGTACTTGAAAATGAGATGGTGTGATTAGGGATCCCCCCCTCCCCATTTATATTGTGGTCTGTAGTGGCAATCCATGGATCTAACCATCTCGCTGCAGTGGGAACTGGCCAAGGTAAGAAGGCAAAAGGTGACTAATGAGATGTAATATATTTATGTGCAATGTGAAAAAGGAAATTAATGTTGGAAGTAGTATTGGGATTTTGTAGAGGGGAGACTGGCTGATTATGGGATTGTCCTTCGATGTGCAAACTTTGAATCGTAAATGGCATTGCAAAATAAATATTGTAGACAGTTAAATTTCAAAATAAATGCCAATGATGGTGTCCGTGGATATTAATTTTGTATTTAGGGATATGGGAAACTTTCCATATCAGTGATATAGGCTGAGAAAGGAAGTGTTACAAGCAGGGCTGAGATTCTGATTACATGTCATATTTCTTTCCTTGTATCCTATGCGATGCTCTTAAATATATAAATCTCGGATATGAGCTGCTGGTTACAGAAATGTAAATTTTATGGGTATTTTTTTGACATTTTTAGGTTTAAGGCCATTTTTGGACTTAAGTGTATTTCTTGTCATTTTTGGCCATTTTAGGGATTTTTTCCTTAATATGTTTTCTGAAATGTGAATGGAAACGAAGTGTTCTTTCTTTTCGCCTTTAGTTCTTTTTTCGGTAATTTTTTTGAATATTTTCAGGTCATCAAAATCCGGGCCCTGCATATTACATTTTTGGTTCATATTTTAGGTCATCAAAACCCGGACCCTGGGTATAAGTAACGCCTCCAATAGATTTTGAACATGGAATCAAGTAAGGATTAGTGTGTTATATATTATCAGAATATTTTTAGGGGCTGAAATTCCTGATCCATTGGTTTAGCCATATTGAAGACAACAGTAAAGAACCAAGGACAAGTCAGTCATGAGAGGAATACAAAGGGTATTTTGGTAGGGTAAATTGAAGGGCTTGTGGATACAAATAGAATATTTAGATGGACCAATCCTAGATGATAGTGATTGTAGAGCAGTTGGTGGAACGAAGACACTCAGGGGAAATAGAAGCACTTGGAGAAAATCTGCTGAAGTGCTACATTGTGTCCATCACAAATCCCACATGACGAGGCCCGGGAAGTTAGCGCAGGATTCTTGTAGTTGAGGTCGTGGGTTCAGCGAAATGGTAATTTCCTCGGGCACTGAGCAGCCGTTTGCAGGGAGTCAACACAATGAACTTTGGTGCTGATGTATGCCATCAATGTAGAATTCGGTACCGGTAGGCAATAATGAATTGCATGGCCGTAGACGTACACGTGGGCGGCTATAAGACGCAGTGGAGATTTCTCTGCAGTCAGGAACCGTAAAATAGTGCGTGCAAGTTCAAATTAAAATTTCCGTTAGTATGATGAAGTCTGTTGGCACATGTTTTCCGAGAAAATTCAGATTTTTGGTTGAAGGCAAAACTTTTATTCTACGAGAAAGAGTGCCACGGCTTGTACAGCGTATGTATAAATGAACCTCCCGTCCCCCCTGAAAAATACTAGTGTATATCTAGGTGTGTGCTGCTGGCACCCATGTGTATGCGACCGAGAGCGAAGAAGGGTATGTTCTCAGAACGCTGCAGCGAGGTCCGGGTGCGATTGAGACGCAGTGTGAACGCTGGAACAAAAGAAATGAAATTTTATTACAAGAGAGATCGGTTGGGTGTCATCTCATATCGAACAGACGAAGAAACACCTTCGTGAGTCATGTACATCTGTATATTTTGTCGGCAAGAGGATTGGATACATAAATTATCGAAGTAAATACCTTCACAATATTTATTAGATCATGTCCTTCATTGAAAAGTGAGCGATTAAGCTCTTAAGATGAAATGCCTGCAATGTCGTATGCTTGCCTTGGGATTTGCGGCAAATACGTTTTAAAGTGCATGGGGGGCCTTTGGTAAGGCACTGGTGTGTGGTTTAGCGGAGTTTAAATGCCCAACTGGCCAAAACAGGATACTTTGGCCACGACGACTATACTGATCACTGGCACAAACAGGGCACTTCGGACACTTTAAACGCCGGGCTTTCGAAATGGTGGTAAGCTTGAGCTGGCCGGAGTTTAATTAAATGACCGCTGCTGAAGCGCGTTTAAATGTCCGTTCCTGTTAGGGCGCTTAAACAATTTTAAGCATTGCGTTTAAAAATGCTGCGTCTAACACAATTTTTATGATAAATGGATTGAATTAACTTTGTTTATATCAGCAAAGAACATACTGTCTCATATTACAACGAAAGATTTGAAAGATCTGTCGGTAATTTTAAATTTAGTTAATGTAGGATGTGTAGAGATGGCAGGAGCACTGCACGGTGGTGTCATGGCGGACATGTTGCCCACCAATAACATGGGAGTTTCACGGGGCTGCCCAGTACCCCCTGTCCTATCCTATAAAATGAATTCTTCAGAGGAGCGGTTTGCGCAGACCAATAAGTTGTAGTTGCGTTCGTTAGCAAGGTTTGTAGCAAAAATTTCTACCTCCTTTTCTATCCTAGTTCCACTCATGTGCGTGTTTTACCACATTTTTAGTATCATATTTTCCTGTTAACGCGCGCTGAATTAGCTTGGCCTCAAGTGTTTAATTATCTGCGTGATGTAGAACGAAACTAGTTGTTTGTGCCTTGCACATCGCTCAAAAATTTTTGAGTATGTGTAAGATTTTTTTGAGCTTGGAACTATGGGCCCAATGGTGCTAGGCTTCCTACCATGCGCTATCCCGTTCATATGTTTACCATTATTAAACGAACTTTTGCAAGCATCAAAAGATAAGCCTGGGCTGGCCAGAGCATGGTTAAATTAATCGCTGCTGAAGCGCGTTGAAATGTCCGTTCCTGGTAGGGCGCTTGAACAATTTTAAGTGTGCTGTGTCTAACACAATTTTTATGATAATTTGTTGTAATTAACTTTGTATCAGCAAAGAACGTAGTGTCAATTTTTTCTTTTAATTTTGATGCGTACTGCAAAATTATTCTGCATTATAAATTCGTTTCTGTTTGTAACACTTGACAAATTTTAGCAGTCCCTGGTGCCATAAAACAGATGGAAGCAATAAAATCATTTGGTTCTCTGCTGGAAAACCTTACATCTTTGTTACACTCTTCAGATTTTCGAATCTTTTGACTAATGACTGAAGAATGAAAGCAAGCAAGGCTATTCAAGAAATGGCTAGAGGAGTCTTCAGTGCTAAGACCTTCCGTTATAGCTGCAAGAGATTATTGCCCTTTCTATGCGCGTGAACAGACAACTGCATCGTGGCTGAGATACAGAGAGCGATCTGTTTTCTGTGCGTTCGTAGTGAACTCGAATACTGTAGTTTCATTTCAGCCTATATATACATCAAGCAGATAACAAAACAGGTATGTACGTAGAATTTTACTATATATTTTTAACACATTAATCTGCAGAATCTGCATTAAAAGTACAGGCTCGTGGATGAGTTTGGGCATAACTCATACGTATTCTCTTTTTGTTGTTGTTCACTTAGGTATCATTTTAATTCCTCGATTAGGGTTTTACTGAAATCGGCCTGGTAATTACTACATTTAAAATTAAATATTTAGCACTGTGCATGCGCTTCTCCTAGCGGCGTGCGTGCGCGATTCCCTTACTCATCACTGGCCCGAACGGGTCACTTCGGGCGTTAAAGATTAAAGGCCAAACAG